TGAAGAAAAGCAAGGGAAGATCACAGTACCTTAGGACACTCCTCGTGTGCACCATGGTGCCTAAGAACAACCATCTCCTTTCTCTGCCTTTCATAACTCTTCTGATTAAGAGAACAGGAGAAAAAACCCATCCCAACACGGCAGGAAGGCCTTTACTAAAAGGTGCATTAATTGAGGAAGGCAAGCCAACGAAATGATTAATTTGCTGTTCTCCTTCAATATTATGTTTACACAAGTTGATTACAGCACTTAATTACTAATTCACCCTGCTCAAAAACAAGAGTGCTTTAAATTTTTAATGAGATGAGGGAAGGCAACATTCCCTAACTCAACAGGGAGAAGTCATTTTATTTCCTCTTTTGATTTCCCATGTTATTACCATTTCTAAGGAAAAAACTATCCCCTCCCTGATCTTTTACTCGGTTCTTCCTTTTGAAAATATGGAAATCAACAAGAGGCTTGTATTAATTTCAAGCCATGACCTGACAGGTAATGCTTTGGAAGAGGAATAGAGGATCAGATCATCAACTGAAGTACATCCATTGAAATAAATGGAACAAAATTATGCCAGAAACTGCCTGATTCAGAAATGGAAATGGCCTAATCCCCTCCAGTTCTGTCAGCAGAAGTGTTGAATATGTCCCAGTACTATTTATGGGTGTTCTTATGAAATGCTGTCTATTCCCCATTGCCAGTTGGTCCATTACCAAGGTTGTGGAGTAACTGTAGTACTGAGGAACTTCTTTACATTCATAACAGTCTGTAACATTTTAATTGTTAAAAGGTGAATAAGTTGCATATCAGATGTTCTTTCTGGCTGATCTTTATAAAACCTGTGTTATCTGTGGGGTTTGTTATTTGATTTTATGCTTTACCACCCAACAACATCCCAAGACAACTGAGATGTCCATTAAATTAAGCAAAACCCTGCAGTGCACAAACAAAACTCTTCTGAGCTCCTTTAGTGGAGTTGTAAGTGAATCATGTCCCCTGCACCACTGTAACGTCAGCCCCCACCTGCAATATAGTCCAGAGTTATGGACACAGGAGCCAGGTGATCCTGATCCACACAGCTCCTAGGGCTGCTTCCAGGGATGCAGATTGTGCCCAGGGGGTACTTCACCTGCTCAACTGCTACTACTGCTAAATAATTCAGCTAATCCACATTAGATAATTACCTAACACTTCTTTCTATAGAATCCAGCTCATTTTTAGTTATCTCCAATCTGCTTGATAAAAATATTTAAAACGCTTTTTCCTGTCCTTTTGCAGAGTATACCAGCAACTTGCACAACAACTAAAACTAACAAAGCAAAGACTAAAACTCTCTTAAAAGTCAATTTGTACCTGAAAAATCTTGTAATCATGAGGACTCTAAATTCTAGCTCAATGTTTGACACAAAAAATGATTACAAAAAGCTGATTATAGGGAGGTACCGACAATATGCATTATAGAAAATCAGAGTTTCTTCTCTCCCATACTGGCCAGTAACAATGTCCCACATGAATGCAGAACATCCAAAATAAATCTGGTAATCTGGTTTCATACAGGTAATTTTATTAATTGCTTTAATATGCAATTAAGGAATAGTCAGTGGGCTGCAGGGTTTTATAAGGCAATAATCCTGTTCCCTCGTGTACAGCTTTGTCCCAAAGAGTGGGCTATTCAAAAAAAAAAGAGTTGGATAACTGCCAAGTCAAACAGCACCTTCTTCCCATTTTCAATTACGAACAAGTGAGGCAGAGTAACGAGGATATACTGGAAACTTTGACATTTATTTATTGAACATTTTCTCTGAGAAGGAATTGCTGGCTTGCTAAACCGGAAACTATATTTTTACTATAGAAACAATCCCATAGAAAACCAGGATCCTGCTGCTCAGCATGAAAGGAATGGCCAGAACCAATAAACTGACCCATCTAAGCAGCAATGTGAGGGTTAGTTCATTCAATGCAGCATATTTCAAAAATCCAAATCCCCAAAATAGAGTCTGTATTTCAAAAATCTTTATGTCACAGGATTTTACACAGCACTGTCTGCTGGGACACAACCAGGCTGTGTTAGAGCTCATGGGCACCACAAAACCACTCACAGAAAAAGAGTGTAGCATTTGGACAGATTAAAAGATGAACCAAGAAGAAATTCGGTTTATTTTCTCCTCTTTCCAGAGTTTCTAGAAACTAAATAATGGAGAGATGAAATGGGGAAGAACTCACCACACTGCATGTTCTTTTTTCTTTTTGGATAGACCAATTGTTTTACCACAGAGGAGAAAAATGCAGGGAGAGTAAATGAAGAGGAAAATAGGGAAGTCAACATTCTTTGAAGCAACAACATATGGTGACCAGGCCCGAGAGATGGAGGTTATAAATCTTCCCTTGATAGAATTACCTAAAGATGAAATTGCAGCTTCAAGGGGCTTGAACTTTTAAATCCACACTAGGAGCTTGCAAATTAACTTGTATGGTTACAAATTTTGCAATGACCTTCATTTCCAATGCTTCTTTGTAAAGGCTCAGCACACTGCAAATTTTGATGGTAATACAGATGTGGTCAGCAGAAAGCACGAAAACCTTTATCCAAATCACTCAAAATATGAAGAAAAATATATGAAAATTAAGAATTAGAATAAAATGCTGCATCCTGAGAACAGCTGCTGCTGTGGTATGGAAAGGGAAAAGAGATGGGAGGTACATCAGTGCTTGTGTCTTTGTGAGAATAAACTTATTTAGGGATATCAAAGGAAGAGCTCTTTAGTGTTCCAGTCAATATGAGCAGGTCAGCTCACAGTGCACATTTCATCCCCAAAGCATCAGGTTCAGCATCACTAGTGGGACTCACTGTTCAGCAGCCAGTCCTTCAGTCAGCAGAGCATGGTAGAGCTGGACTAAGATTATCAGAAGTGATTTTGAGGGATCCTGGCTTTGGGTGCTACTTCCAAGCTGTCCTAAAAAGGCTTGAGTTTTAGAAAACAGAGAACAGCCAACCCATAAAAACCAGAGAGCTTTTAAGCATTTTGATTTGACATTGAGTGGAAATGTCCAAAAATCATTCTGAGAAATGTGACCAGTGACTGGGAAAGCTACAGTAAAAAATCCCCTTCAAAAAACCATAGACATAAGGAGAGAGGTTACTGAGAAAACCCACAATTTTCTCCTTTACTATTACACTGAGCAAACAAAGAGCTTTGAAAAGGACAGTAATTAAGCACAAACCATCTATTAGAGGAGAGGTAATAACCTCTATTATTTGCAAAGTCTACAACGATTCTGAATGTTTACAGCAGCACCTCTAAGAAAGGATTGTTTCGGAACATGTGTTACAAAGATAAATGTAAGAGATGTTACTGAACTGTGATGCTAGATATGCATTTACACTTCCCTGTCCCTAAAATAAATTTATTCCGTTTCTCATTTCTTTATCCCAAGCTAAATTCTTTTAAAAATGTTTTTACATAATCTAACATATTGCAATTAAAAAGTCTGCGACATGGTTGGTTCAAGGGATTCAGTTTCACTGAAAAAGACATCTGAAGGGGTGTGTGATGAACACTGACATATATTAATGTATGTATAAAATATATGTATCTGTTCTGACATTATTGGATATGCTTCTGAAATATTTTTGTATATAAGGGCAAGGTAAAAACTAAAAGTAAGCAAATACACCAAAAATATATACGAACACATCACAGAAAACTTCACAGCATTAGGTTTTTCTAATGCTGATTAAAACAGACTTGATAAAATCAGTTTTGAGATGTTCAGTTATTGCACTGTAATGAAAAACATGGCAGACTTGGAATGAAATATGTATTTGAAGGCAAAAGATTAACAGAAGAGTAAGAAATAAATATAAAGTCCTGTCACCAAAAGTTGCTACTGAAATTACATTTATCAAAAGAAGTTCTTCTTACAAGCATTAGAACTATTATATACAGATATTATATATATATATTGCACTATATATTTGTTGCAATGGCATTCATTTTAATGGAAAAATTCTTATGAAAGGAAACTGCTCTTCCTGCTAACCTACATAGCACTGTAGAATATTCCCATTTGGAGAAATGCCAAGCACAGCCCAGCTCGTCAGCTTATGTTGAGCTGGTTATTGATTCCAGTGGAACTGCATCAATTTAACAAGGTCAAGAAGCTGAACTCCCTATTCAGAAAATATATCCAGATAAGCTTTTGTGCAAAATTTCATCTACAAGTATCTGTGCCTGATGTTATAAAGTAAAATGTATTAAATGCACAAGGGACCATCCCAATAAATAAGTTTGTCCAACTGAATGCAGTGTGTTGTTTAATGTCCTCGTGTAGCATGAAGAGAGAAGATGTCTCATACTAGTGGGATTGCCAGGTGGGAAAACAGGCATGATCTGGGGAATTCAGACCCTTCCTCAGGTTTCTGTAAACCACTGTTATTTCTACAAATGCAGCTAAGTCATGATTTGCCTGATCCACTGAAAATAAAAGCCTTGCTGCTACTTTTGCAACTGCTAATGGACTGAAATAACATGAATACACATGAAGTTCCATCCTCATTATTAACTCTGCATTCACTGTGGACAAGACAAGAGCTATAGGTGTGTTATTTTTTACTGCATTAATAGTGCTATGTTGCTTCTTATGTTTAACATTCCTCAATATGAAAGAAGGAAAGTCAGACAAATATAACTGAGATGAAAGCATGACCTTCCTGCAGGATCAGAGCCTTGCTAAATTCCCTGTTTTGTCTGTAAAATTACATGGCCCAACCTCATAGACAGCAACTTCCATGCACATCTCTACAGTGAAAAGACAAATGAATACTCAATACACCTAAATATGGAGTTAAACAGGGGGTGGAGAGAAGGTGATTCTGGCTCTTGTCCAGCCACACAGAAGGTACAAACTTTTCCACTTGGGTTGAAGTCTGTGTGTGGTGCCAAAAGTCAAGGTGTAAAAGACATTAAAACTGAAAAAAAAAATAAGTAAAATCAGGTATTTCATACCTGTATAGATGCAAAATCCCCAGAAGCACAAGCTCCAAGAATAGCAGCACCCACCAAAACAGACTCCACCTCTTTGGACAGGACAACAGGCTTCCCTGCACAGGAAAGAGCCAGGTCTGTTAGGGAGAACCCAGCAGGACTGCACCAGCAGCACCATAAATAATTAAAGCAAAAAAGAAATCAAAAAGGGCTTGAAAACCATTATTCATTACTCCATTCAGAGCTACCTTCTGCTGTAGGTTAATGTAAATCACTCTGCTCTGTGGTTCCAGGCTCCAGGAAAAATGCAGGATTTAAATACAACAATTTCAGCAAATATTAATGCAGAACATAAAGCACGCAAAAACCAACCCCCCCAGATCTTTGACACTGGCTATTTATCTCAGAGGGCTTGGTATAAACCTGTTACCCACACCCTCCAAACCCACGTGCCCATTAAAAGTTAACCTGGAGGGGAAAACAGGGCGGTGTCCTTTTTGTTTCTTTTGCAACAAACAAACAAAAGACTGTTTGTGTTTGGTTTTAAATATATAGCCAACAAAGCCAGTCTGGTTTTGCTGGAAGACATGAAAATATGAGTAGCAAACTTTCTCAAGCTATGTATGAAATAATAAGGGAAATCTTGCCTTCCAAATTGTGCAAGATACTAAAAAACAAAATTAAAACACTGGAAAAACAAACAAACAATATATATTCTGAAGCAGAATTAAAAAATATTGTTTCATCACCCAGGGGTACTATCATGAACATACTTTCCCTTTGGTTCACACAAAGTGTCTGAGACATGTTTCACCAATGTAAAAACAGGAAGAAAAATACTAATAAATAAAAACCAGCCCGCTTTATTAATTCTCCTGAAAAATCTAAACCAAGAGCATAAGTCTAAATACTTTTCTAGTTGCACTTCTGATGCTTACCCTCACTCAGCCGAAAAATTTAATATTCCTACAGTATTTGGCATGTGGCTAAATTTCCATTACTGAGATAATGTCATTGAACGAATGACGATGCAAACACAGGGGCGGAAGGAGGGATTCCTTCTGAGAATAGTCTCCATGATATTACACCCCAAAAAGTGCTGCTCCTGAGAGCCAGCTAGATTAGAAGGAGCTAGAATTTAGAGGAAGACCTAAAGTTAGCCATGAACAACTGCTAGAGAGGAAAAGGTAAATACACGCTCTGCAAAATGAGGAATAAAATTATTAATATAAGCAGCAATTACTGACACAAAGTAAATTCTCCTTGCAAAAGGCATCCAGTTACATGATGCAAACTTTTCCCTGTCACCTGAGCATTCCTCCAGTTCAGCTGGATCACAGCTCAGGACTTGGGTCAACCTGGAACAGCAAATCTAAAGCTCAAGCTCAAAGCTCCAGGGCTGTTTGTCAGGCGTCAGTGAGCAATTTTCAGCGTGCTCGAAAATTTACTGCCCATTTCCCGCATCATCAGAATGAATACGGAATTCTTACCAGGCAAACAAAAAGATCAAGATACTTTTTAAGTGGCCTGTGGAATTATCTATTGGATGTCTGCATGGCTGAGTCATGGGCATTTGCAGCTAACAATAATATATTCAGATTTTTTTCTTTTCAGGAAAGAATGGGGGATTGATCCTGGAATGTTAGTTATTTTATCTGATAGGCTCTAATGAGTTCAACATAACCAAGAGCATTTCAGTGAGATGAACTCTGACATCCCTTGTCAGTCACTGATTTTACAAATGGGGGAGAACTCCAGACTGCAAAAAGGCCTTTTTGTACTGAATTGTACTTGGCCATTAGTTACAGTCAAAGAACTTGTGATTACATTTTAATCAGAATACCTTTTCACAGATCCTTTCTTTTACACATCATAGACCAGCAGCACAACTCTATACATAGCTGAAATTCACCTAAAACATCTGAGTTCTATAAGGAAAGGCACAGACTTGACAACATTATTTTTTCACTTTGACTACAATGTATTTAGTGAATTTTCAGGTCAATAGGCATTATGCTTTTTGCTTCTCCATTTCTGTTTTCCTCTCAGGTAAAGCACGTTTTGATCTTCCTTCCTGCATCAAGGTTATGAAGTGTAATTTGATGTCAGGGCAAGACAGATCTCCAGACAAAATGCCCCAAAATTGAGCCTTAAACTTTATTCATGACAGCTCAACTGGTCTTAATTTGAAATATACCCAAAACACACATCATTCAATGTTTCTCTGAAGTCCTTTACACTTAATTTTGTTATTTTTTCCACATTTTTTGAAGTATATTCAACTGACTCGCAGGTGTGCTAAGATGTCCAACATACACAAGCTGAAGGGAGACCAAAAATACCATGTAGGCCTGAGATTGCAGTGAAACACAGATCCAGGAGCTTCCTTCTACCCATCAGGAATTCTACAAAACCAAAGACAACACTGTGCAGGAGCAAGAGTCCAGACATTGTCCCCTAAACCATGTGAGAGATACAGACATGGAAGCAATAATGGATACAATGCCCAGCAAGAGCAGGAAGTGTCACAAGTCAAATAGGATGAAGTTCATAAAGTAATATTTCATGACAAGCTTTTTGGCGTGTACTTCCCCTAACTTACCAGTAATGTCAGCCTGCATCTGCACAAAGAGAGGGTTCTTGCTCAGCCCACCACACAGAAACAGCGTGTTGATATCATGTCCTGCAGCCTGCATCGTTTCCAAAATATGTCTTGTTCCTAACTTCAAAAAGGGAGAGAAAAACAAGCCAGATGAGCACAGGAGAGCAGTCACAGGAACAGAACTATATTTACATGCAAAGACATTCCCACTGAAACTTTCTATTTACTTTGTGTAACAGCATCTGAAAATCCCTCTCAGTGAAGAGGTTTCAATTCTGAAGCCAAATAGCAAAACAGAACAAAAAAAGAACAGCAAATTAAAAAACCTATGTTTTCTGTCATTTCAGCAAAAAAGAAAACCTGAAGAATTCTGTATTGGCTTAACTATTTCTCTTGGCCTTTGCCCTACACAAAATAAAATGTTCCGTTTCATGCCCGGATTAATTGAAACATCTCAAATGCAGGCATATTTTAAACTTTTCATTTACAGTCTCAATTCTGAGAAACTCAAATTAGAACAACCAAAGCAAATGCTTTGCCATTTTAAAAATATAGCTTTTCTCTTTTTGTTTGCTTTGCTTGCCTCCAGCTCCTCACTGAAGGCAACCTTCTCCCTATTTCCCTTTTTCAGGAGTATTTCACATTTCTTTGACAAACTATTGGACCAAAAATAACTCTCAGCTCTTTATAATACCTTGGAAGTTAAGTTTGAAGCTCAGACTTGTCAAATTCAAGGCAAAATGCTGCCCAGGCTGACTCTTTGTACGTAGATTCCTCACAAAACACAACCTGGTCAGAGTTTTCATAAACTAATGTTTAAGTTTTCTTTGTGTCATGCTGCAAGTTCATTAAGATGTCTGCAGCTGCAATAAACTCATCTTCAAATAAAAGCCACTGAAAATGGAACAAGCAGAGTTCCATCAGATGGAAACGTCCACGATGAATGACCAGCACTATTCTGGACAGGCCTTCAAATATATTTTGATTTTAAGGAAGCAGTTAAGAGGAACATGAGCAGCCACAACCCCAGCTGACTAAATCCATCGCTTCCCTATTGACACAGAGGGCTAATTTCCAAATCCACAATTTTAATTATGGAAAAATAAACTGCTCTAAAAGGAGTCTGTCTGCTCAGAACGGGCCACAATTACATCCCTGACCGTGTTCTCAGCCGTCCAACTGTTGCATTGCATCTTGCAGTGAATGGTTAAAAGGAGATTCTCTTTCACTGCTTCTGAAATTCAAATTTATTAACAAGTTCTCTCACAACATACACACGTCAAAGACCCTGAGAAAGAACACGCTGTGAAAATTATTTTGTGTTTACCTGCCTGGAAAATTGTATTCACACAGCAATTTAAATTAAAGCCAGACTTATTTCACCGTGGGTGGGGGGGAACTAATTTAATCCTGGATTGGAGAAAATGCAAATTGAGGGGCTTCAAATGCAAATTTTATATAAAAAGAAAAAAGCGTCTCCTGCTGAAAAGAAAACTAGAGATTAACATTCTGTGGGCAGGCCTACACTTTGTACAAGATTTTTACTTGGGTTGAAAGTTTATCTTGCACCCATTGAAGGCAGCTAATGGTGCAGGATTACTACAACTGTTTCCTTCAATAAAAGTGAAGCTAAAATTGGGAGTGAAGGAGCATGGGAGGAAAATTAAACTTCCTAGGTGTCACATTGGCAATTAGTAAATATATCAAGTCAAAACCAACTTTCTCTGTCTACTTTTTAGTTACTGTTTCAATAATGCTTCAGGAAAAATGAATTTCCTTGAACTTACAGTGAAAAGAAAACTACGGGATGGCCTTTTTACATTAAATCAGCCCAATCAGGTATCAAAAAGATATGCAGCTGCTGAATTTAGTGTTCAACACAGTATTTGTGTTTTACAATAAAATCTGAGCTGTATCATACAATGAGATAATAGGTGACTTTCCCAGGATTTCCAGCAGAGAAGGTTTCCACTTCGTTAGCAGCATATAATCAGGGAGCACCTGTTCCAGACTGGGAAGTTCCTTTCAGGGGCAGTATCAGTCCCTGGCATTGTTCAACCTCTCCTAGGCATTCTTATTTCAATGGTGGGATTATGCTGAAGCATCAGGTATAACCAAGCGACTTTCATCTTAAAAAGGCTCAAAACTCACAACAATGAATTCCAGGCTGGGGTTAAGTTCCCCTTATTTGCTGACGAGGGAGGGTTAACACATAAAATGGACAATTCCCAGTAAATTCACAGCAGCCACCCACCCTCTCCATCCCAGATGGCTGACCCAGCCTAGCAAAGTTGTTGTTTAACCAGGAGAGGAGTTTGGAAGTTTTCCAACCAAACAGAGTTTTGTCAGGAAAACTCCCCAGTTCATCAAACTGTTAATGTTTTGCAAAAAATCCCTCAAGTTCAGTAAACTTTAAAAAAATAAAAAATCACAGAAAGGATGTCAAAGGAATGTGGATTTTGGTCACCAAAAGGACCCATGGAAAATACCCTGTGCCAGGTTTTCCAAACAACTTCTGTGACCCAGGTTTTCACTTCAGAACAGAACTTCTTGTGAACTGGAAATTCTGAGTTCGATAGAAAATCAGGGCAGAAAGAAAACTATTCCAATAAAATTTCCCATTTGAGTGTTGGCAAACACCAGGGACATTTCAGAGCCTCCCTGCCTGCTCCATACATCCACCTGGCTGGGAGTGCCACGGGAACCAGCTTCTCTCCTTGGAGCAGGGACAAGAGGGGGACGATCTGCTCTGTTGAGTCTGGGAGCTGTGAACTCAATCTCAGACCCTCCTGCTCACTGTGGCACAGAGCTCTGCCTCATCCACCAGACAAGCAGGGGAAATCCATGGATTTAGGAACAATCTGAAGCTAAGGCTTTTAGGGGAGCTCAGGGTCCTTTGTACAATTGCCAAAGCTTTTTTCCCCCCTCTCAGCTTCCCTCTAGACAGCCCATTGTGTAACACTGCTCCATGGACTATCAGCTCCTTCCTCACATCTGCACCAGAGGAGAAAGCTCCATTTACAGAATTGCCTCAAGGAAAAGACTTTTTAGGGGAACATTTTCTGTCTGTCGATTCTCCCACAGTTGGGAATAGTCACTAACATGGATAAACAACATCTTGCTCCTTTAAGAAGTCCATTAAGTGAATTCATGTATTATTAGAAATCTGGTTAGCAGAAGGTAATGATCACTCTTCCACAGCACATGAGACAACTCATTTCTTCTTTTATGCACTTAAAATGCCTTACAGCAATGGCTTGGATCGTGGCCAGGTAGATAAGGGCAAGTTCATCCAGACCCCGGGACAATGTCAGTCCAACAACCTGTGCAAAGATCAAAAAGAAAATGTACAAATCCAGCCAACATAAAACTCTATTATTTTCTATGGCTTCTTGTTGTAACAAGTTTTAAACACTAATTCTAAGCCTTACTTCTGTGAGCTGTACACATAATGCTATGTTAAACATGTTATTCCTGATCTGGGGAAGAACCACATAAATTATTCTTGCCCTTGCAAAGAAATAAAGAACAAACAGCATATTGTATGGGATTAGAGATAGATTAACTCTGACAGTTTTATGTTATGACTCAGCTATTGCTCGTGAATGTATTTAATGTAATAATATGAAAATGCTATTACATAAAAATAACTTTTTAAAAGCATTTCTCCCCCTCCCACCCAAGCACACTAACACTGAAACACAATTAATAATTAAATACTATATCTTAGCCTCCTTTACTCCGACATAAATCAATACTGCACTGTAGTTACTCTGGATTAATATCAGCAAAGGCAAGACCCGAATGCAGCCATAATTATGACAGAAAAAACGGGTTGCTATTAACAGCGTTTGCATAGGGGCATCATACCGAGGAAATTCTGATATATATATATATCAGAATATATAGGCCAAAATATATAGGCCTTTTTTATTCTTTTAATGTTTCCCTCATTTGTGATTCAAATGCTGCAGTGCTTATACCCTTTCCTACCTCAACCTCAAATACTGCAGATTTTGGTGCTGGTGAGTAGCTTGAGATGCTCATTTCAAGGACAATATGTCATTTTGAAAGACATTTTTGCATTAATCACCAGGTATTTTGATATCACCAAATTATACCCTTATGACATTCTTCTGTTATAGTTCTGCACAGCCTTGTGACCCTTCTGATCTACCACCATAAGCTCAGTAACAAGACACATCAAAACACTTAAAGATGGGCTGAAAAGCTGTTTAAATCAAGCAATCTATCATCAGAATACTTCATGCCTTTTCCAGATAGGTTTACCCAAATCTGTGTTGAAATTCATTGCAAGAAATATTCAAGATTTGGTAGACAAGTGAGTTAACAACAGCAAGCGCTGCAAAATGTGATTCCTAGGGAAGATCCTGGGACACACACAGCACTTCTCATATTTTTAGAAAATAAATGTGGCTGTAGTGATATCTCAACTACAGTCATCTCTGGTTTTCTACTGAATCATCAGCACACTTCGAAATGCAGAAAGAAACCCAAATCCTACGTGATAGTGTAAATAGCTAAGGAGGAGTACACTCAAAATTGAAGAAAAGCTCCTTTTCTTTTTTTTTACCCTGTATTGACCTTTTTGCAAAGACAGGCTGTTTCTTACCATGCCCTTTAGTGTCAGATCTGTTAAGGGAGATCTGTTACCATGGAAATCTGGCCAAACATGTAAATCAACAGTGAGGAAACCCACAGGCAGAGATTTCTTAATCAGATCCAGGTGACTGTTCAAGTATGTATATATGCTGTGAGCACTACAAGAAAAACAAGTTGGAAACAGAGAGGGGAGGTTATTCATCAAACATAAAACATTTGTACTACCATCAAATGCACAAAACCCATCAAAGAACAGCAAAATCCCCCTGCTTGCCAAGCCCATGGCACTGAGGGGATGTCTATATGCACGTGTGCTCAACAGGCCACCTGAATTCCTTAATTTCACGGGATGAGGGGAGATAATATGACCTTGAGTTTGTACATTGACTCCTGCAGGTCCCTGGAGGAGCTAGAGCTGTTTGATATTTGGGGCTGCTGATGCTTGTCTCCCACAGAAAGGTGCTGACACTGTGCGAGGAAAGCTGGAGAAAAGCAAGCAGAGAGGGAGGAGTGAGGAGGATACCAGACAGAAGTGAAAATCAAATTCCTTTGCAAATGTTTAAAAATTTCTCTGATTAATCAATAGCATGTAGAGCTTTCCTTTTTTAAACCATAATTATTTCAGTGTGTGTTATGATTAAAATGCAGCACTAAGGGTGGAGGAGAGAAAGTGAGTGGCTGCTATTTTAGGGAGGAGCCCACCATGGGCCTAAATATGATTGTATCTAAGTTCAGATGCTACACCCAACTCCACAATATCCAACAGACTTTTTCCTGGACCTAGGACTAATGGTGAATTCTTCAGTGCCCTGGCTTGCAGTGACTCTGGTGACATTCCGTTTAAAAAATGTTGCAATTATGCTCGGAATATTTTTTTCAAACACTCACCCTATCACAAACAAATCCATATCTATTTTTCAACTCCTTAGAAATCTCCAAGTGGGGCATTTAATTCTAGACATGTGGGTCAATAACAGCATCTAACCCTAATTACAATTGATTAGTCATTGTCTCATCCACTGCAGACCCAAACAGTGATATTCATTTAGCCTCTACATGTATATTCAATCACGCACTAATGAGATCCCTGAGGGAATTTGGCATATGCTTTACTAGTTTGACTTCTGACCCACTAGCAGCTGTATATTTATACTTTGCATTCAACCATTCAGCTGCATGTTTTTTCAATTATACCTCACCATGTGTATGCTATCAGAGGATATCATTCAAAATGAACTACACTTGGAAGACATTAAAATAACTAATTTACATCATTATTCACGTCCTTTAAAATGTACTTTATGTGTCTTCCTGGACCTAAATTATGATAATTTTGAGGTCACAATCATTTTTTTTCCTGTTGTTGTGAAAGTGGCCCTGTTTCCTCCATCCCTAAAGACTGCACTATAAGCAGTACATGCTAAGGACAAAGTAATTTTATTTCCAGTCTAAATCAGGGCTTGACTGTTGGGAAGGGGGGAAAAAAAGGAAAGCTTCACTCAAGAAGACCCACCAGATATCCCAGCTTCTATCTCATCTCCATCCTGCTTGACTGCTCTCACAAGGATTAGTCGTTTGTGCAGCTCTGTCAGAACACAAGGACTGAACAAAAAGAGGCTGAAATTGAGCCAAATATGCTTAAAACCCACATAAACTTGGAATTACATTTTTTCCCCCACACCTTTTTAAATTTATTTTTTTCTATATATAGATAAGGGTTCAAGGGACTACACTTGGACTGGCAAAATCCTTCAAACACTTGCCAGTTCCTGTTTCTCCCACCTTGGGGTTATACATAATATTACACCATCAACTCACAGAGCTTTCTCTATTCAGTTCTATGACAAGGTATCAGTGGCAGTTGCATCTCACCTGCAGAGCTGAGCATGAGCTATTGCTATGAAAAAAGAACTGTGCTGAAAGTAGAGAATAAGAAATCAATGCAAGTTTGCCCAGGTTTATGTTCATACTTGGGACATAACTTCAGAAAGCATCAATCAAGAGGTTGGTATTTACTCTGTTCAAGACTTTTAGAAGATGCCAACAGGTATCTTTCAGGGGAATTAAAATTTCAGATTTCTAAATCAAAAAGAAAGGACTCTAAACCATATAGAGGTACAGAAAACTGCCAAATACGGTTATTATGTTCTACTTGAAAGATCCCAGAATTGCTGATGGGTCGTGTATGTGTAACTTCAAAGTTTTATTTTCAGGAGACATCTCTTTAGACAGGGAAGTGGCATCGAGATGTATAGGAAAGGGAATTCTGTCCGAAAACACAGCACTTCACCAAGTGCCAGAGGGCACATCAACTTCACTGTCATTTAGATATTTTTCTCCTCCAAAAGATTAGAAATGGTCATTCTAGGCAACAGAATTATTTAAACTTTAGACCATAAATGATCATATTATTTGTTTTGATTTCCCACTCTCACCTACCTGTATAGGATTTAACACATCAGTGATGGTTAAACGTCAGACCTACACAATATGCAGGTTGAAGAGCAAAAGTGATGCATCACAGCAATTTCTGCAACTCAATGAACTGCCTGGGAAAAAACCAAGTTTTGTTGTTTGCAGAGTGCCAACCATTTGACCAAATGCTAAATTTACAGCTGTCCAGAAAATCCTCATGTAATTCAACTCTGTCCACTTCCAGTAAAAGAAGGGAATAAAGGACATAGGAATAGCACTGGGAGGGTTGCACAAGCCTGGTCCTCAGCAGCAGTGATCAGCAGGAGCTGGTTGTCTGAGCTCTCACGCCCCTACAAGTTACCAAAATTACTGAACTGGTGATAAATGCAGCTGAAAAACTGCTCTGGTGTGGGCAAAGGAATAGGAGGAGTCTGCACAAAAAAGCCTCTGGGATAGCTGCTCAGCAGGCACTTGCCATTCCAAACCTGCTTATAGGCAGCATGAGGAGAAAGGGAGGACACGTTTAGGGATGCAGAAGTAGGTGAGAGGCAGCACAAAGCAACAGGCAGGGATTTGTGACCTCAGATGTTCTTGTTTTAATGATCCAGACATGCTTAACTCTTCACAGCACTGCATCTACCATGGCAAGTAAAGGTAATACAGAATTGCACACCCAAACATGGAATTCTCATTTTGTTTTCCTTCTGTGGCCGTTTGCAATTGACTGAACAGATGCAAATTCCTACACCCACACAGAGAACATCCTAAACATAATAAAGCAGATTGTCTGAACTATTCTGCTGAAATTTCCAGGCAGCTAATTTATCATCATCACCAATAATCCTCCAAAACAAGACACTATGTTTGAAGGGAGCCTGCCAGAAAGATGGAGAGAGACTATTCACAGGGGCCTGGAGTGATAGGGCAAGGGACAATGGCTTCACACTGACAGAGAGTAGGTTTAGATGGGATATTGGCAGGAAATTCTTGCCTGTGAGGGTGGTGAGGCACTGGCACAGGTTGCCCAGAGAATCTGTGGCTGCCTCATCCCTGGAAATGTTCAAGGCCAGGTTGGACAGGACTTGGAGCAACCTGGGATGGTGGAAGGTGTTCCTTCTTTAAGTTTAACAGATATTTCAGAAGGAAGGGGAGAAAGCGGATGAGGGAATTAGTAAGTGAATTGTTTACTAAATTTATAGCTATGTAAACATTTCATTAGTAGAGTAATATCTGGAAAGCATTACAAAAATACCATTGAGCGAATTAACTTAATAAAATATTATTACTCTTTTAATAAAATATTACAGCTCTTATTATCAATACTGTTCTCCAGAGTTTTACTAATTGCAGGAGACTCAAAAGTTATGACATCATACCCTTGGATAACATGGAGTTCTATTCCCAATATTCCATATTTAGTGTCTTGCTCACACCACACTAAGTTTTTGCACTACAGCATTATTGTGGTCAGTCAGTTCAGTATCAGACCTAGCAGAGACAAGGAGGCTACTCTATAGCCATTTTTCCAACAAAAAAAATTGGTTTATCCTGGCATTACAGACTAAACTGTTTGTCCTATGCTTGAGCTTCATATGGGGGCACTGGAAAAATGGCCTGGAAGCCAAAATTCTGAAAAAGCCCCAGATCAATCTTTATTCCAAACATACACAGATGCATTTATTTCCTGATTTCCTTTTTCAGAGAACAACAAAGAGAATTCTAGGAAGCGTGAATCTGTTTCATATTGAATGAAGTCCAATACATTTCCGGGAATTCTGGACAAGTTTTTAAAAAACAAGTAAGACAGTGGGCCCTGCAAGGGATGGAAGGGTCATCCAGAGAAACCAGGTAGCTTTATCCCCCCAGGAGGACTGAAAATAACTATGTGACTGCGCATGTTTAATATATGTATCGGGACTGACCCTTGTCTTTTAGACCAGAGGGATAAACTGAAGAGAAAATGCCAATTTTGCTGGTTTTTTCTTTAATCTAAGGATGAAAAAGACATTAAAAGATAATCAAATTGTCATCCAATGTGCCCAACTGTTCAGCTAAGATCTCTCTGGAAGTGATGTGAACCATCTTAAAAGGAATCCAAGCCAAAACCGCTTGACAAAGTCCAGACCAGTCTGGACTATCTTCATCCACTTCTAAAGCTGACCACACTAAAATTCCACACTGCACACAGCCTGCTGCTCAAGGAAGCCTGGAGTTACCTCCAAGTCACTCCTCCATCTTGAGTTTTGTCTGAAAATTCATCCAGGGTTTCTCTGTTCTATTTGTGCTGCCATGCAGGAGTTTTCCATACGGTGCCTATACCTTCCTTTAGATAATTGTTTCAAAAATACTGAATAATATATCCTTATCAAGCTATATCTCATCCTTGGAGCTTAGTTGTGTCACCTACAAATGAAGACACATTGTTAGCCCAAGGCATAGAGGCAGGTCTGCTGAACAGGGATGATGCTACAGAATCAAGAAATACCCTTGGACAGAAAAGCTGAAAAGCAGTAAGTTAATATCACCACTTAGATATGCCAAAGGTATCTGAGGGGAGTTTAAAGCTTTCATCTTTGAGCAATCACCTGGCAAGCCTTTGTAAATACTTCCAATCCTCTATCAGACTGTTAATTGCCCTGTTTCAGAGTAAGAACACTGCTGGGAATACATTGTGTCATCAGTTTGTAAGGCAGGTGTGTGATAAAGGAATAAGGACAGTGACCTGGCTGCAGCTTTTGACTGTAATTCCGGGAAGGCGACGTGGCCTCGGACCACATGATCAATCTGAAAAAGAGAAAAGCAACATTTTTAGGATGATTACATCTTACAACTTCAGTCCTGGAAAAGGGTAAGGCAGTGTTATAACTTTAAAAAGACAAGAGAGCTTCCAAATTACTCATGAAGTGTTAAGTCCTAGTGAAGCCAATGGCAGAACTACCACTGACATTCAGGATTTGGTTTATGAACAGTAAGGAAAAACATCCAACCTTGCACCAAAAACTGGCAAAACACTAAGTATGCAGCTCCTCAGTCAGGAGAGCAAGGTGACAGGATGACATTTTTCCTGTCTCCAACAGCACCTGAGAGCATGTCCTCTGGTCTCTCCCATTCTCTTGCATGCTTATCCTCATTGGAATTCTACCACGAACATCTCCTTGGCCCAAATCCCTACATCTTTCTGTATCACTCTGTTGAAATAAAACACAAGGTGTGTTGTCATCCTGATAGATGCTTCGTACATTCATTGCAGGAAACAAAATGTATACCCTGAGAAGCAATTACTGCTATAAAGGAAGATCAATATACGCTCTGTCTTATACTGAATTTATAAATCAACTTGTCCTTTCAGTCTAGAGTGGTTACCATTACTCACAAAACAAAGTATCAGGTAGAATAATATGGGCTTTTAAGACAATAATTCAGCAGGTTTTGTGGCCTCTTGGTAATATCCCATCAGAGGTGACAGTAAAAGCTAAGGAGGCAAAACTAGAGCTACTCAAGAGCACTGAGTATTTTTGGCAATACCTATGGGCAGAAAATCACACCAGTATTTAATTTTTAACAGCATGAGTCTAGTCCTGAACGAGTGTAGGAAAACATATAATGAAGCAAACACACCTGAACATAGTAATGAAAATAATGCCTGTTCTTCCTGAGATTGGCATCAGACAGAACTCAAACGTGTGTCTGCATTAGAAACAAAGCTCAGGCCTGAATTCTGCAATCTTGCATAATCCCCTCAGAACACAGGGGCAGCTCATAAATTCAGAAATAAATTGATAAATAAACATCACATGAAAACACTTTTACAGAAAACTGTTGCAGGAGTTATGAAGTTAGATATTTAAATGCCCTTAATTCAAGACATGGCCACATGAGGGATGCACATAGAAACCATTTTCCGCTAATTTTTATTTCACAGTTTCTAATTATGTCATGTCATCCTTTGTCTCTGTTGTGCTATATCTTTCTTCTTATAAATTTTGAAAATCCAGTGCGAAAACCCATCTAACATACAAAAAAATCAAGCTTTTTCAGAACAAGAGGACTTAATCCTTCATTTGGACTCTACAGTTTTCAAAACCCAACAGATTTCTTTAGCAGGTGTATAAAAAAAAAAAAACTAATTAGAGCTTTTTAAAGGGAAGCGTATCAGCTCTACTTTTAAGAAGTTGAACAGACTGTTCACATTTTATGAAAGAAATTAACATTGGGGCATTGATCAAGCAATGAAAAGAACCCAAAACACACCCTTTTTGTTTGTTTGTTTTCAGAAGGTGTGAGAAAGCAGGATCTTATAAACCTTCAGCTTGAAAATGACAGAGGTATTGAATGCCCTGTACCCTCCACACAGAGCACGTGCACTGTTTCCTCCCATGGCTTTTGCTATGGGTCCTAACAAGACCATACCCTTTTTCCAGCAATTCCTTTAATGATTCAGGAACATCTTGTTCTCTGGTACTAGAACAGAAAGGATTTTTTAAATCATCTTTTTGAAATGCCCTAACTGTCATAGTACATTTAAAGTGTGGAACTATCCTGAGCCAGCTGAGAAAAATCACTGACTTGCTGTATCCTCTCTAGAACTTAGATAAGAGTATTTACCTGCTTTGGATTAAACAGATAGAGACTTCCCTCTCAAATGTGTTCTTGCACAGAAATATGCAAGATTTGCCACTTTCCTTTTAAAAGGGGGGTGTTTTGAGGATATATTATTTTAGATATAATATATATATATAAAATTCAGTTTTATTTCTGGTTGTAGCAGTTACCCATAAAATAGGACACTTTTTGGTCCTAGCCCAATCTTGACCTGAAAAATTTAAAGCACACAATTAAAAGAATTAAAACACACCTGCTGCAAGAGCATTTTTTAGCCACAAGGCTAAGGATGGGCTGGCGGTGGGATGGGAAGCAAGGCTGCAGGAGAGAAAGAGGGGTGACTCTCCCACTGAAGCCATGACACAGAGAGGAATGTCAGGTTAATGTGGCCAAGGGGAGAGTACAGGAGGGAACACCATTGACAGCTCAGTGCTTGGGGTGTGTCTGGGATGGTTTGTGCTTCTCATTCAGTGACTGTTCCATGTGGAATGTGTAAGTGCAGGGATGCCCCAATCTATTTCCTGGTCATGTTCTCCCAACTCTAGGCTTTTAAAAAGGTGGGTGGTGCTGGGTCTGAGTCAGAGCAACTACACCTGCAACTGGTGACAGACCAAACCCCACCTGCACATGGTGGGTTTACAGGGGACACCCCCAGGCCTCGCCTGCCTCCTGCAGCTTCTCACAAAGCCTTTGCAGCTCAGTCCTAAGAGCAGTCAGACTGGCCAAGGACACACACAGGGAGCTCTGGAAGCTTCATGGTTGAGCAATCACAAAGATCTTGGTGGCACTTTTGGACTCAAGCCTAAATACTGTTGTGTACATCTAGCCTTTCTTTAAATTTGACATCAATGTTTTAGTTCTGACTTCCTGTAAAAAAATTCACTTTTTAGGTAATCCAGACTGACGTTAGTTTTTATTGGTAAATGAAATTAACCTAATACTGTTAGACTGTTTGCATTCGAGCAAAGAACTGAGGTGACAGGATAACCTGTTACTATATTACTATCTGTCCATAAAATACATCTTTCACTTATGCCCATCAATGAGCACAATTGATCTATGTAACATAATATGTGCAATTTTCTTTATCTCAGCCTCCTGCTGAAGTAAAGAATGAAGCCTAATTGCCTGTAAGATAATAACAATAATCATCATCACCACCATAAAAGGAAGACATGCCCTGTATATAATCCCTTATCCATATGCAAATGAACAGTTTGTAAGAGACATAACAATCAACTAATTGTTCATTGCTTTCAGCAGCCTGTATCTCCCATGATCTTACAGAGGTGCTTCAGGCAGAGCTCTGCCTGAACTGACAGTGAAGTTATTCCAATGACAGCAATTATGCCAGACCTCCCATCTTGGAGTCTGTGTCTCCAAATACTTACCAGCTTTCCTGTAGCACTTTGACCTCCCTCATTCAACCACAGTCCAGGTACCATTGCAGAGAAATATGGTCCCCAAACACCAGGAACAAAAATGGGTTTTTCACTGACCTGTAAAAGCAAAAGAAAGCTCTGGTGAATCAAACAACCTGTCAAAGTAGAGACTTCACAACTAATGCTTGGCAGCTATCGGAGTCCAAGGCTGAAACAACTCCTGCTCCTCCACAGGAGTTACCAACAGGAGTGGAGATCCACAGGTATAGCTTTACTCCAAGGATAATGTGGAAATCTTCCAATTACATCATTTTTAGCTCACACAACACAGTTGCAGCTACTTATCACACAAGTGCCCCCACTCTGACAGAACAGCTGGGCCTGGCTGAGCAGAAAGGAAGAAGTTTCAGGAATGGGAGCTGTATTTTACAGGAAGAGGGAAACTGCCCCATTTCTCTATAAAAATGCGTTATTTAGAACGAACAGTTGGATACAATACTCTGTTGACTGTCCTCAGCAAATACAGCCAATGTACTTGGTGATGGGTGTTTGCAGAGTTAGGAATCGGGAGGGAATCCTGCTGACAGAGGACAGTGATGTCCCCCAAGATCTGCCACCAACTCCCAAAGCTGGCAAGGGAACCCCTGGCTCCAGTGCTCCCACATAGCTGCCAGGATTGTTGGGTGCCTTGTGTGGAAGCTACAAACCTGGGCTGGGCAAAGGGGGATGTGCTTGGTATGGCCAACAGGAAACATGTGCCTGGGTAAACATCAGAATCTGCCCCTTACTTAGGCTCAGCTTTACACAAACCACTCCTTCCTTCACACCTGTGAAGGCAGATCAAGGCAGCTATCTGAGCACTATCCTACAGAAACAACAGGCCCCTATTCACACCAACACACCCCCCTGTGTACAGTGACAGCTGCCCCACACAGTATTTTAGTGGTTAGACCACTCAGGATGTGGGAAACACTGGTTCATTTCCTTTCTCTGCTTCAGAAGATGCAAATTACCAGTTTATAAGGGTGGAGGGCATTTTCCTTCCTCCTATAAAGCTTTTCCACTTTCAGTAGACCTGATAGACTTTCTAGGCTTTTATTCTGGGTCACCAGAAGGCCTAAGGAGGTCCTGGTACTTACTCCAAAGACTAGTTGTGTATTCTTGACTGGATGAATATTGAATTCTTCCAGCAGGGGCTGGAGGAGACAGGTCACCATCCCCTGCCAGGCTACCCTCTTCTCTTGGAAGTAGATTTCATGTTTTCTCTTCCAGGACCACATATATACATTCAAGAGAACAGCAGTGCAGTCCTACACCACCTCATGATGCATGATGCACTTCCCACCATTCCATGTTAATGGGATGGCTAAATCTGCAACTGTTGTTTTCTAGAAGGTGCTTTGCTCCCAGAGAAGGAAACAAGAGAATTAATTCCGTAACAAAACAAGTCTGTATGTTTTCAGTGCTGCAACAGCAAAAAGAGTGGTCTCAGTCAATGGAACAATGGGTTTTTTTGTATTTAGACCTTGTTCTTCATTAGCAAAATTCTAGACCCATTGAAGGATGCTTAAGGTTTGCTATTGATTCAATAAGGCCTGGACTTCATGTCAAAACAGTTTTGAGGCCTGTTCCTGTTAAACATGAGGCACATTCTCCGTATATTTAAACAGGCCAAACTTTAAAGACAGTTTTTACAAGCAACAAGGGAATATGCTCCAAGATGCAGTTTACTGGCATTTGTGCATCACACATGTTTAGTAAATACAGCAGCAGGGAGGTTTCTGCACAAACAATAGTCTGCTCCAGCCATAAACTCACAGTACAGCTGATTCTTGTCATGAAGTTAAGTAGGAAAACAAAAAACCCAAAAATTTGTTTCTCAAAATACATCAGCACAGTGTCAAGAAATTGTGATTTCTTTCAGGAAAGCATCTAACAAATACAAGAATCCTGCTCAGTTCTCCCTTATCAGCTCTAAAGCCCTGACTTACTTTCCATAAAGATGTACATGCACACATGTGTCTGTGTGTCTGTGCAAGATTTTGGCTGACTAAACCCATTAAAGAGCAAGAATAGCTGCACTGAATTTACAAAGGCATTTATGACTTGAAGTGGACGAAGCTACGTCAAAAACACTGCGGAGACATTTGGTTTTGTTTTGTTTTCTCTTAAAACTACAAATTAATACAGTTTTGAGCTTTCATCACCTCAACGGGACAAGGCTTCTTTTACAATTTCAATATGAAAATGAAGTGCAAGAAAAAGCAAATCCTAAACTAAGCTGATTTTTAGACCTATTCCACATCACTGACATTACTGAGAAGACACCATGTCAGTATTTGCTCCAAAATGGTGATGGAAGTGTGGGGAGAACCCAAACATCCTGTCTCATTCCCATCCTATAGCTGTGGACACAGTATGTGTCTCTACAGGTGACAAGAAACATTTAGGGTAAAAGGGGCCTGGGATTTTGAAGTCTTATCTCAGAAATTTTTTGATGCAGCAAACTTTGCAGTGTTCTGTAGCTCACTGAAGGAAAAATCTAGTTACACCAAATGGATCAAGCTTAAAATCCAACTGCTGTGTAGTCTGAAAAAACAAATAGCCAAAGGGCACTGAAAGCATAAAGATGCTTTGTGAAGTCAGGGGAAAGTCTAAACATCAAGAAGGACAATATATTTTATAAAATAAAAACAGAAACCACACCTTTGTTCTATCATTAGTCCACAATTTACCAAGTTGTCCTCTATGTCTGATAACACCAAAAGGTTTAGATTCATTAAAAGACCAAACTCTCCCTGCAGCCAGTACTTCTGGCTTAGTACTTTGAGCACCCACAGGAATTTGCCAGGACAGGATATTTCCATGCTGGCTCCTCTCAAATTACAGTGAGACTTTCCTATCATCTTACTACTAAGTGCCGTCTGTTCACATTCCAGCAAACTTTCAACACATGAACAGAGCAAACAAGGGAACTGGGAATTGCCACACTGATGGATAAAGGCAGTGGGGTACTTGGTTATCAGTTTTGTTGCTGTGGGAACTTTTAACTGGAATAAAAGAACCTTGGCTATCATGCATTATTTGATGATAGGGCACCATAAGATCTCCTATTTCCTCCTCTTAGTTAAGGGGTAATTCACATTTTTCAGACTCTTGGTTTTGATGCATGCGGAAAGTGAGAAAATTGGGAATAACGTTCTCCCCAAAACAGACACACAATCTTTGAGAAGTAACATCCTTCCATAGCTCTATGCATAAAAAATAGCAAATGGTTTCCATTTCCCTTTCTTGAAATATTTGGACGGTGATTAAGTCTTTCAAACCATGCAGCAGCTGGCATTTGTATTTTCATAATAAAAGGTCCATATTCTGTTCGAGTATACATCCCACCCAATCCCACCAAAACACATGACTAGACATAAGTGTAAGGTTGGAGAAAAAGTACAAAGTTTGCCACAGAACCCAGAAGAAAAGCACAATTTGCCAGATTCGGGGCTATTTTTGTTACACTAATACCATGTCTCTTTTATAGCTTTCAATTGCCTTCAGACATTCTCATGATGATATAGGAGGATCAATGCCATTTTTTTTTTCCCTTTAATGAGCTTAAGAAAATCCTTAATCTTTTTAGAAGAAAAACAACATGTGTTTTAGATTTATGGGGAATTGATTTTTATTTTGAAAGCAAATAAGAGATGTCATCCTTCTATGGAAGTTAACATACAAATTCAAAAGGAGCCTCAGATTTTCTGCCTTCCATTTAACTGAAATTCCTTCTGTGACACACTCCTATTGCAAGACATGTTAATGTTTATTATCTTTTACATAGAGCGAAACTGAACACAGAGAGGATTTCCTCTGCTAGACCTGAGAACGATCTCTGCCCAACAATGAAGCAGGAATTAGAAGACTGGAGATAAGAAGCTGAACTTATTCACACTTTGAGTCATAAGCTGCATCTATAAATATTTCAGTTGAACATGTTCACACTGAGACCGTTGCCCCCACGTGTGATGATGCCAACTTACCCAAGGATTATACTCAGCCATGCTATTCCACCTCACAGTTACTCTGTCTGTCGATGGGAAAGAATCCCTTTTGTGCAAGAAAATGTCACCTTTCCACGTCTCCCCAACACACACATTCCTACTTGCTCAGCCCCATCATTTCAGATGAAATGAGCATTAAGCATTTCCAAGATTCCTGCTCATTTGAAGGGAAAAAGAGTTGAACACCTGAAAGGGAGAAGAAGGGAAATAAAGTTCTGTCTGGGAGGGTTTAACCTCGGCATGTGCTTTATAAAAGATCATACTAATATGTAAGATATGTAAACATTATAGAGCAATCAGAAACAAATGAAATGATGAATTCAGTTTAACAATATTCAGCTGTGGTGCAAGTGCCAGAAGGCACTTTTTGTTATGAATAGATCATTTGGATGGGTTACAGACCAGATTTGAACCCTGGCGTGTGCTAGGAAAATCAGTGTCAAACTACCTCAGATCAGAAGGTATCAGGAGTGCATCTGGCAGCCCACAGAAATAAAAAATGTCTTTAAAATACATAAAGCTGTACACTACTAAGCTAAAGTATGAGAGGACCTGCTTAAATGACACTAATATGAGAGCCGTAATGTATTTAGTTTATTTTAGTCCTTCCCACTTGCCTTTCCCCTTAGAAAAAAAAGAGGCAAAAAAATTCACTTCTATTATTAAGTCATAGAAAAAAAGCAGGACAGGCTAACTCAGAGCTCAGGTAAGTGAATCAGGGGAGCCAGTGCCTTCCATCCAAAGTAAGTTCAGCTTTCAGGACTGTCATTTGGTTCAACGACGGAACAGAACACAGACCTTCACAGAGGAGCATCTCCCAGGCATCCAGCCATCCCATAAAATGAGCAAGTGGCAGTGGGAGATTTATTTTACTTAGCTTTGTTTTGCCAGACTAGCCATAATGATCAGGCACATGCTTGTGTTTCCTCCTCAGTTTTATGTAAATGTTACGGCAATCAGAGACAAGATAAAATAAAACACACCACACTGGCGAGAGCAGGTTTATGGAATCATGAATTTCAGCAGAATTTTCTTCCTTAGTTGACACCATCTGTTGCTGGTGTA